CCATATGCTCCTATTTTACTGATAAGTGTTAGAGAAATAGGATTCTTCTAAGCAGGAGACAGGGTGAATCCATAGAGGTAGGCCATGAAGGTGAAAATGTATTGGCTGTCATGCACAGGTGTAAGGACTTGCCTGATTTGTCCAAGAAATCTGTCAGGGACCCATCATGCTGCCAGCAGGATTATAAACAGCATGTAAGGCTGGAAGGTGACGTCTGGATGCATGTAATTTCTTGGGTTTACTACTTTCTTAAACCTAAAGCTCTGTGATAATGAATAATAATAAAAGCAAAAAAAAAGTAAGGTAATGAGTTCTTTCAGCATAGGTGTTGCATAAACAATTCATGTTTAATATTAGTTCACAGTTTTTAATTTTATAGAGATAAAATTGCAAAGTAATTTTCATTAGATGCTTTATAAAGTGTAAAGAAATTCTTGGAGTTCCCTTTGTCTTAATGAATTTACTTGGAAGTTATTTGTTGCTATTTAAATTAATGTGGTGGTGTTCTGTTTCTGTCGGGCTTTTTGAAAGATGACCTGGATGTAATCTCAGACCTCGGAATTTTACTTTATTCTTAGTTGAGAATTTTGTCTTTATTCTAAATTTCCAAAACTACAGAGAAGCTTTTAAATAAATTGTTGTGTTTCATAATTGCAGTTGAGCTGCAGATTTCAGGAGCCTAAAGTTTTAGAAATCCATTATTTCTATATTTTCTAAATGTAAATTTTCAGATTACTATTATCTGTTTCTGATTTTAAAAATACTCTCAGTTTAAAAATTCTTAATGGAATACTGTTATTTTGATGCAAAATGATTTCATTATAATTGTATGCAGATAGATTATAATAGATATTGTTACTGCCCTCCCTGTTTAGTAACATTTTACTGCAATACTCTTACAATTAGTAGAGGGAATGTTTACTCTCAGGAGTGCATGACACTTGACTTAACATTTTTTTGCTGTAATTTTTTTGCAGACTTTTTGTATGCCTCAGTGTATTTTCTTGAACTTTCATGCAGAACCTACTGAGATTTTGCTTCATAGTGGAAAATTGAAAGGGAGGGAAGACAAAATATTTTGTTATTACTTTGATGAATAGTTGATAGTGTGAAATGAAAGACTGGAATTTGCTTTGGTTCTTCTTGTATGACATTTTCATTAACATTTCTTTGTTTCTTTTTCCTCAGTTGTCTTTCTTTGGAAAAAGTCCTTTAGCATATTTATTGTCTGGTTTGTGGGCTTTTCCACTTGGAGGAAAAAAAAAAACAGCCACATGATAGTTATCTATTCATATTTAAACAATTGGATTTGAATGATTAATAAATTTAACTATTTCCAGTGTGGAGGACTAATCAGCAATATCCATGGATCTGAATTTCAGGGTATAATGAAATGTATACAGAAGAAATCATGACTTTGTGGCAGAAGGTTTGCAGTAATTCCTGATTAAGCTATGGCTTTTCAGACTAAGCTTCAAGGGTGGGAGTAGCAAACCAAAGACCCTGTGAAATTTCTGTGAAAAAAAGAAACACACACTAGATATGCAGCAAATATGTGTATGTATGTGTATATATATATAGTTAGCCTAATTAAAAATATTTGCATTCTCATCAAATGTCTATTATTAGGCCAATTACAATGACAGACTTTTAATACCTGGAGCATTCTTGGGAATTAATTGATATCTTCTGTGTACTTACCCAGCATATGCTCCCTTTGTATCATAAGATCATTGTTGCTAGCCTCCCTTATAATATGTGGGGGAGAATTATTACGTTGAGGATACAAATTACTTACTACTCACTTTAAGGCTATCTTATGTTTTTCCAGAACTGTATACTTTGTTTTTTCATTGTTCGTCTGCAGTCCTACAAATACACAAAATTTACCCTGCATGCTGTATTTTACACGTTGGATGTGTATTCTTTAATGTCCCTAAAACTATTTTTGTCCGGTTCCCAAGGTGGCGTTGCTTTAATGACCAATAACTGACCAATGAAGAACCTGTCTCACTAAGAGTTTCTGGTTTCATCATATGCTGGTACTTTCAGGGCCTTTACAATTACCTAACACTGTAATTCTCTGCTCTGCATTCTTGCTCTAGGGTCATAGTTCACTCTGCACAGGAAGTCTACTTATTATTACTATCTGTTAATTACAGAAAAGTTTTAAAATTACTATCACAGTAGGCTTTGTACAACAGAATTGCCCAAAGCTAAGATAAAACAAACTAATTAGGTAATATTCACCTGGTCATTAAACAAGTGCCATCACAGCTAAACAAGTTAAAACAAAACCTTCAAGCAAGTCAAGCCAAGTGAAGCCTGACAAATCCTGTCTGAGATCTTGCGGAGTTAACGCCGTCCCTGAATCCTATTGCTTATAGTAATTATACTGTATTTACTAGATTTGCATGCTACAACGAGGTGTGAAAAGCAAGGGGTGTACTGTTGGTAATAAGAACATTCAGAGGTGAAATCTTGCATATAGTCTTGTCTACACCTTTCTGGATGCAAGGAAGTTGCAATACATCATGCGAAGTGATAAGGATTTACACATGCTTAACTACTCAATATAGATTCTTCATCTTTGAATAGGGATGCTTCTCTGTCTGAATAAAACACAGAAGATGCCAAACAAAAAGTAGGGTATGTGTTCAATCAAAACATTTTAGTGAACTGACTTCTTTAAATTGGTTTAGTGTCTGAATTTCTTTTAAATTTAAACTGTATTGAGGTTATAATTTAGCTTAGAATTTACTGTTGTTTATTTCAGGAAAAAAGTCACTTCTTTACATAGAAAATTAGTTGTTTGAATAACGTGACAAAATTTATTCACCACAAAATATTTTTTTTCTGAATATTCAGAAAATCTCAAAGAATGGGATGCCACAGAAATAACATACATATGGCAGTGGAGCTGCTATACAATATTGACTTTGTTTGGGGTGGGTTTTTTCCAAATCAAAAGAATTGTGTGTGATAGGAGGTGTCCCGTTTTGCTTGGTTTAAATACTAGAGTTTCAAAAATGAATGTTTCAGTTGTTCATGCTGCAGTTACCTCCCACTGTCTTTAATTACATGATATAACACTAATTCTTGTATAACATAATTTGATAAATATGTATTTAATTTTTTTCCTACTTATGGCATAAGTATAGTGCTATCTCACACTTACAAGTATAAAACTTGCTACATTAATGATCCAAGGAATGGCATGTGTATGGAAACTATATTGCAAGCAGAATGTGATAGACAATGCAATAAGTGAGATTCTTTTCTATTGTTTTTGGGATACTAGTAGAATTTTGAAATCTATCTAGATTAGAAATTAAGTACTGCAAGAAGTGTCACCATGCTAAAGAAAATTCTGTGATTTCATAAGAATCAGGTGCAATACGTAGAACCTACTGTAGGAGAAATATTCAATGTTAGTAAAATCTAAATCAATGTCCTTGGATTACGATAACAATGAAAGTCCTATATTCTGTAGAAGTTTGATTCTGCCTTTGTGAAATGTTTTAAAGATTTTTATTGAGACTAAAATCTATAGTTTCCCTTACAAATAGTAAGCCATCTGAGCAAAACCATAAGGGCAGACTTACTGATAAGACAGGATATTTAGATCTTATAAATTCTAGGACCATGTTGCCACAGCTTGTAACCAGCCCTTGGGGCGGGAGCTCAGGAGGTGATGTGTAAGTGTGGAGGAGCTGCCTGCTGAGCAAACACAGCTAGTATCATTCCTCCTGGAGGAAACAGTAACAGCAGGAAGAAAAATTTGCTGAAAATTGCTTGGTTTTATTAGCAAATTAACTACAATTTTGTCAGCTAGTTCTTCTGAAGTAGATTAAGCCACCATCAGCACAAGACCGTAGTTTTCCGGTTAGTTGTGCCAGGTAAGAGATCTGTTCCTCACCACCTGATGAGAGAAGAGCCTCACGAGCTGAGCAGTAGGTGCTGCCTGCTGCATCTGCCTCAGAGGTGCATGCAGGCTCTTGGTATTCAAATGCAAAGAAAGACCAGATACAGAAAGTGAGGGAGCTAGCAATTGCTTTTTTAGTGAGTTTGGAAACATACAAATCTTTCTCCTCCTGAAGTATTATAGTGCCAATGAATGTTAATCAACCTTGAAAGGGTATTAGATAAGGGTGTGATCCTCTATTTTAGTTTAGAGAGAAGAAACTGCCCATTTCTGTAATAATTAGATTAGTTAAGCTTCTAAATTTGGATCTGCAAGTAAAGTACTATTTCTATTCATATGTTTTTAAAATATAGTTTACACACAGATTTTTAATAAGTAAAATACTGAAGTGGCTGTCTTCTAAAACACCTGCATTACCTATACATGCTCATGTTTTCTTTCTGACATACACCCTTGCACGTGCACTCAGACATACGCAAATTGTATCTACTGATTTGTAACAAAGGGACAGGGGGCTTAAATTTTTTTTTCTCCCAATACAGTAGATTTTAACTAGGAACAATAATTACTAGATTTATTCACTGTGTCTTAGAAAATCCAGATTTCTGAATCACATCAAAACCTAATAGAACTCAGGACACTTTAAAAATGAAAGGACTGTACAAGTTAGGGAGAATATAGTTAAATCAGACATTTTTGATGGACATATTTTATTTTTGTCATTTGAAACAATAAAAAGATTGTTGCTAAAGAACATTTGGGGAATGAGGAAATATTCTGCCTCAAGAGTAGAGCTTTCATTATGGTGCTCTAGGTGGAAGAAATTTAAATGTAGAACCCATTGCAGACTTTATCTTCATGAAGGCTGGATCCAAGGGAAATTAATCTGTTACATAAGAATCACCAGATATTACTTGATCAGAAGATCAGTACTCCGGCCTTATCTAGCTAAGTTTTGAATACTTCCAAAGGTAGTAATTCCCCAGCCTCTCTGGGTACTTACTCCAGCATTTGACCTCCCTCATTGTGAAAAGCATTTACTAAATAGCCAGTCGGACTTACCTTGGTTCATTACCTCTCATTCTGCTCCTGTGTATCTCGGAGAAGAGATACAGCTACCTCGTGGGACAGTATAGAGAAGAGGGAGATGACAAGATCTGCTTCCCACTGCTCGCACAGAGGCACAGATTCTGGGGCTCGCTCTTTATCTATCATGTTCTTCAGGCCCAGTCATCTTGATGGCCCTCCACTGGACTCGTTCCAGTCTGTTTCTGTGCCTGTCGTCTTACTGGAGAGCCCAAAACTGGTCACTATACTTCAGATGTGGCCTCACAACTGATCAGGAGAGGGGAAGGATCGCTTTCATAGACCTGCTGGCTACACTTATGTTAATGAAACCCGAGACGCTCTTGACTGTCTTCAGTTCAGGTTTTATTAAAGTCATCTTCTGTAGTTCAGGACCATGTTAACACACATCAGACACACTGAAAAAAAGTCATGTTTATGTGTGTATATGGTGTTACCTACACTGTCTTCCCCCCCTTTTTTTTTTAATGACTAGTCCTTTCTGGGTAATATATTCTGTGTTAATTGTCATTCATAACTACGTATTCCTGTATATCCTACAGCTGTAATGCTCAAATAAATGATCAAGCCAGAACTTGCAAACTCCTTAAGTATTTCATAAATGAAACTCAAGTATTTCATGGAAGAGAAAGAGGAACATGCAAAAAAAGCTTTATTACAGAAAGTGGTACCAATTTTCATTACAGATCAATATTTATTCAGTTTCTATTTAGCTGCTGCTTTTCCAGTGGCATTTGGTGGGGTAGAATGCTTCTGAAAGCCTTGTCCTTCAGATAAGTTTAGAAGTCATGTTGCAAGTAGTGATATTCATTATTACTCTTGGTTCTTTTCAACAGTATTAAGATTATCTGTTACTTACAATCTGCTTACCTAAATCCTTTTTTTAATACATATTATCATGGCTTTTCAGTCACTGTTGTAATGCTTTGTATGCCCAGAAGACTGTCAGAACAGCAGGTTCAGCACTTTTACTAGCTGCATGGTAGTCTGAATAAGCCATGGAAAGTATATAGGTGACTGAATATGCTCACTCGTAAGACTAAATTGTAGAATAATTTTATTTCATTATATTCGCATTTTGTTAGCAACATAACAAATATCGCAGAATCACAGAATGTTCGGGGTTGAAAGGGACCTCTGTGCGCCATCTAGTCCAACCCCCCTGCCAAAGCAGGGTCACCTACAGCAGGCTGCACAGGACCTTGTCCAGGCAGGTCTTGAATATCTCCCAAGAAAGAGACTCCACAACCTCCCTGGGCAGCCTGTTCCAGTGCCCCGTCACCCTCAGAGGAAAGAAGTTCTTCCTCATGTTCAGATGGAACTTATAATAGTTCTCCTTACAAAACATATGCTGTTCAGTGTTCAAGTTGTTCATTCTTGAAAGGAGATGCTTTTTAAGGAGGGCAAAAATAATTTACGTGCATAGAGTAGTGTGTAAATTTACATAGCTCTTTGAGAGGAAAAATACTCAATAAACATTTTTGTTTGTTTTTAATGTGGTTCATTCAAAGGGGTAAATCAACAAAAGTGCTGTATTGAGTGACACTAACTTATTTTTATATACTATAAAATCAAGTTTGATATAAGGATAAACAATTTAAGTGAAGAAAATGGCAACTTAGGTTTTTTCTATACTAGAATATCTTTTCTGCTCTCTTCCCACACATTTTCTAGTGTACAGTAGGGCAGGAATGTGACACTGACGACTAAAAAAAAAACCAAACCAAAACCAATCTATTTGTTGAAAATTATTAAATGCCATGCCTAAAGATATGTAGCTCCCAGCTGTCTCTTATACAAATGAGAAAAAACAATTTCCTGTTTTCCTCAGTGACATAATGTTAATTTGGTATTACTGCAGTCTATTCTATTTTAATTTGCTCCCTCATCTTCATCAGTCTGGAAATATTACTTTCTTACTGGAATATCTTACCTTTTGCTTTTTAAAGAAATAGTATAAAAAAGAGAATTATGCAACAGTGTGAAATTCACGGGAAGGCATTCACTTTTTCGGCCTGCTATAAACTCTTCTTGTAGATTGAAAGTGATCTGTAGGGCATGTGTTAGAATAACATTGCTCAGACTTAGATTGTTTGTTGGACTGTGCATCATTCATTTGTGTCTATCTTCTCTGGAGGTTATCCTTCTACTTCTTTTTCTCTTTAAGTGCATTACAGATATTTACTGCGTTAGGACCTAGCAAACAAACAAAACAGAGGAAAATAAAAAAAAGGTTTGTAGTTTTTTTTTTTCCATTTCCATGTTTTAATACCTTACCCTCTAATCTGAATGTGCATGGGGCCGTCATCTTTCTCACTGGCTGCTTTTTTTGTTCAGTGTGTCCACTAATTTCAGAGTCATAAACAGAAGTTAAATAATCATATGTTTCCCTTCTGCCACCTCTCTGTCTTGTTATTACTGTCCTCAGGAAAAAAAATAAATGTGTTTCTAAATAGAATTCAAAACCACAATGAAGTATCAAAACTTGTGAATTTTTAATCTACAGAAATAGTTAACTATTGCAGATAACATGAAAATGCTTGGGCCCAGCAAGCTGTTGCATAACACTGGAGAAGCTTTGCTGAGGGTAATGGATGACCCATCTGAAATGAAGATAATGACGTGGAAATTAATTATTCTGAGCAAAACGTAAAACAGAATTAATTTATTGTAAAGACATCATTTTGGTTTTGTTGTTGTTGGAAAGCTGAAACTGGTTGCCCTCAATGCAAAGGTATCAATTTTTGTCTCGCAATATTCCATATAGTTTTTTAGACTGCTTTGGGGCTTTTTTTCCCAATCTTTCTTGGTCACTTTTGGTTTTGAGTGGAGATTTTTTTTTTTCCCCTTCAGAAAATGTTTCAGTGGGAAGATTGCTCTTAGCAGTTTTAACTTCCTGGAACAATACCAGCAACCAGATGTTTGAGAGACTTGTAGTCAACTTTGCTGGTATCACTAAGAAGCAAGCCACTTCACTGGCTTGCCTTGCCTTATTTCACAACTGTGAAGTTTGAGCTTGCTTTAAGCCAAACAGAGAGCAGATCTAGTACGCAGTACTCAGTCCCAGGAGTATTACACAAAGTTACAACAGGCTTAGTATTTCTAGCTATTGACTTGAAGACATAGGCATCCATAATGGCACTGAATCAACAACTGGAATTATATAGGGTTTATCTGTGAAATAAGACTTGCTGCTTGTTTGTCACAATGTTGAGGTGTCAGAGTTGAGCAAGATTATTATCTTTGCTTGCTGGGGCTAGTTGTGCTGAAGTGGAGGCACAAGATCTGCTTTGAAGGGCTGGAGTGTCAAAGTGTGGTTGTGACCTCAGTGGCTGAGATCCTTTCACATAATCACAGACTGGGTGAGATTGGCAGGGACCTCTGGAAGGCAGCTCAATCAACCTGCCCTGCTCAAGCAGGGCTACCTAGAGCTGGTTGCCCAGGACCATGTCCAAATGGCTTTTGAATATCTCCAAGCATGGAGAGTCCACAACCTTTCTGAGTAACCTGTATTGTTCAGTCCACCTCCCAGTGGAAGAGTGTTTCCTGATATTCATACAAAACCTCCTATGTTTTGATTTGTGTCCATTGCCTATGGTCTCATTGCTGGTCACCGCTGAAAAGAGCCTGTCTCTGTCCTCTTTGGATCTTCCACTCAGGTATTTATATATATAGATGAGATCCCCCAAGACTTCTCTAGCCTAAACCACCCCAACTCTCTCAGCCGTTTCTCATAACAAAGGTGCTCCAGTCCATTCATTATCTTCTGTTTGTTTTACTATCTCCAGTATGTCAATCTTTCTCTTGCACTGAACAGCCCAAAACTGGACTCAGTGCTCCAGGTGTAGCCTTGCCAGTGCTGAGTAGAGGGGAAGGATCACCTCCCTCAACCTACTGGCAGTACTTCTTCTAATGTAAGGATTTAAAAGTGCAGTGATACTGGTTTAGCTCTGAATACCGCCCAAATACTGTTACCAATCACAACCTGTCTATGATGGGAAAGTGAATGTTTGACAATATAAGTTTCTAGATAGCATGAAAGCAAAAAAAGAAAAAAAGCAAAATGTTTTTCAGTGGGCCACATACATATGTCAATTCTGTTCCAATTGAGTGGGAAAGATCTGGAGAACTGTAACTGGTGAGCTCTTGAGATCCTGAGTTTTCACTTTTAAAAGAAACCAAAATAGAAAACATTGATCTCATCATTGAATACATTATGTGTAGTATTGCCAGTTTGATGTATCTGTAGCCCTCATCTCAAATGTTTTAAGGGAGAGAAAAAGAGGCCAGCACAGTCAGAAATGAACTTAAACAAATAAATTGAGCACCACTGTGATATACCCACAACTTTAAGTGGCTGATTACAGCTTGTTTGCCTAATAACTGCAGCAGCTGTGCTAGGATAGAAAGAGGCCATGATGATGTGCTGCCACTATTAAAATGACAGTAAATAAACTGGTTTCTCAGATGAATGCTATTCTCAATTTCTACCTTATTCACTGCCTGAATAAAAGTTTATAACGTTTGTGTTACAACAGTGTCCAAGCGCACTGTTAAAAGTGGGGTACTCTTTATTAATGTACAGTATAAACTACGTTACAGTATTTTACAGCCTAAACAGACAGAACTGCTAAAATAGTCCGGGGGCACAGAGAACACAGGTGGCTTGTTCAAGGTCAAACAAAAAGTCTTCAGAGAACAAGGAATTCAGCTTAAATCTCTCATCCTTTGCCTTTACCATAAATACATCCAGCAACTGGCTTATCTCTAAAAGCTGGGTAAATTAAAGGGGCATTGTCAAGTTTGCTAGACTCCTATTTGAATTACTTTTTTCTTATTATATCTATCTAAAACCTTAGTGTAATCCTTTACTAAAAATACTTCATTTTCCCCCAGATCATTACATGAATCATTATCAGCATAGAAAGGCTCATGAGGCTACTAACAATAACAAACAGAACATGTGGGTTACGAAAGAAAACACTCCAGAGCTCAAACACATTTCTGTTTCAAGCTTCTCAGGAGGTATTTGACACAACAGAAAAAATATTATAAAAATATTATAAAAGTCTTACTTTCGGAGGTGTTGAACTGCCACATCTGTTGAACTTCAATGGGAGTTACAGATG